AATTCACAAAAAATAAAAATTTTTTTTTTATAAGTTTATAAAAATTTCCATGGCTTTCCTGACCACTGGACACCCTGTCCAATTCAATTGAACTTTTATTATAGTGTTTTGAAAAGGTTTTTTTGTTGATGTAAATAAAGTTTAGTTAGTTCACAAATTAAAAAAATTAGTCGTAGAAATAATTAAACAATTTATTTTATCTAAATAGATAGTTTTGAGGGCATTTACGATTAAATTTCTATTTAGGAATTTTACAAAATAATTTCTCACCATTCAAAAGGCAAGACGTTTAATAAGAAATTAAATTTTTATACAGCTTCAGGATTTAAAAATAATGCCAAACTTCAAGTAGTGTGGATCTGATCCTTAAAGGTAGAATCGTTTTTCTGAAACTTGTTGTTTTTGAAGTCCATGTAAGCCATTACTCAAAATCTACTGGAACAATCGTTCTGAAATTTGGTACAGTACTTCTTCACATAAATCCTTAAGTACCCCTTTCTTAAAAACAAAATTACTAATTTTACATTAACAAATTAGCAGATTTTTTTATAGAAATAATCGGCTTTTTGACTTCCAAGTGCTACGAAAAATTTTAAAAATAAAACAAAATAAAAATCCTCCCAGGATGTGTTAATGTTTTTCTAATCTATTCTAATAATAAGTGTAGAATTTAAATTATCTGTAAATTTAATTCGGTGGACAATTTATACTACCTATTTTTTCCAGTAAGAATACTATAGTATGATATTAAAGAATAGATTAAAGTTATAGTAAAATTATTTGTCTTTTGTAATTATGATATATTTAATGTAATCATATCAACGACTGTATTAGTAGCTTAACCTCAAAACTGTCATAATAGCAGCTTTTTCATGAACACATTGGACGTACTGAGCAGTAAAATGCCGGAGTTCCTAATAGCACAAGTTACACGGATAGTCAGTACTGACAAACAGAATTGTATTTAGTAGTGGATCGGACGTCAACTACGGTTGGTTACGGAAATTTCTGTCTGGGCACGGAGAGTGGAAGCTCCTTATACTACTTCGGGCTCACTGCCATAAGCTCACTGCATGCTACTATAAGATAAAGGAACTGCTTGTCTAGGTTATTAAGTGTCATTAAATAAAGCATTAAAGCAGCTTTAAAGTATTAAATTGAAAGCAGGAACGTCAGTAGATAAGTGCCTACTCCCTTAACGCCCATTTTATAAGTTAAAATAATAAGCAAGATGTTTTTAGTTTGACTACTAAAGAGTATTTATTATTATTTATTAAAGATAATTGCAAATTCGTAAATTCATAAATTCAATTTTCTCCTTGTTAATAAAGTGTAACATTTTTCAATAAAGAAAATTTATAATTTTTCTAAAGCGCTTTGTATTAACTGACATTACGTATTAAATTATACAGTTGTATTTATAGAAAAGTTGCGTAATAACAGCATTATCAATATAAATGGAAAATCTGAGAGAAGTTTAATAGTAAAATAAATTTTAAGATACACATTGCTACAGTAAAATAGGATACAAGGTCATGAATGAATGAATGAAATAGATGAAAATATAACTAGATTTAGTTGGAAATAAATATACTTCTGTTGCAACAGGAAATTCTAATCTAATATAATTGATTATTCATGTTTTAGAACACTTCGTCGTAAAACATTTTTTCGTCATGAGTAATTACTCATGCTTACTCATTGTAATGATATTTCAATGATAATTATTTTTAACTAAAACAACAAAAATTGATTTAAAACGAAATATTTCGATGGGTTTCGGTATGTGTACATATAATATGTATGTCAAATCATTATACAATTGTCATTTTTGTTGTAGACATACGACATACGCTAAATTTAGATTTAAAGAAGGCCTGGAATTTTTAGAATTTATAATTTCACAAATTTTTCCAAGTTTTTCTGTTTTCCTTTTTACTAATTTAGATTCATATTCCAAATCTATTAAAATTTTAAACATTTTAGCGCAGTCTCTAAAATTTGTATGAAAACATAAAAACTAATTTTCAACGCATGCGCTAGTTATAACTGCATTATAAGTTTAAATTTAATGTAAATGATGCGAAAATTATATTTAGAATTTTACTGAAATTATTTAAAAATTGACCTAGAAGAGGGCTGGAATATTGAATTAAGTTTTTTTTAAGAAACCTGGAGAAGTAAAGGAGGCTAAGAACAGTTTTTAATTTTTTGAATTCGAGTAAAAATATATTCTTTTTTAAATTTATTTTTTTATTGTTATGTTGAATTTACAAATATTGGTTTTTCAATCATTGAACTGATTAATTTCTCTATTCTCATCACAAAATATTGAGAAATTAGAAAAAAATGGTTTGTAATTCAAAATCGTGATTCAGTTAAACAGAATTAAAAACTTCAGATGGCAGCGACCTCTCTATGTCGTGCTTTTGTAGTGTTTTGAATGTAGGTATAATGTGTAATATGAATAGGCTTTTGTCTTGTATTTGTATCTGATATTAAAAGCAAAATTTTGAATTTTTTAAAATTGACGCTGGATTCGTAATCAGCAACTCCGAAAACTAACCCATCCTTAAAGACTTTCGAAACCTTAGTTTAACTTAATTTTACAGATTGCATTATTGCTGCAAATCTTGAAGGGATACTGAAAATAAAAAGCAGTTTCCTTTACTAAATCTTGTGTAGAATTGTCATTTTTTTATCCTAGGTCTACTAGGGTTTGTAGAACTTAATTTTTTCTCATTGCGTGTTCAAGAATAACAAACTATTTGATACACACAAAATTACTGCAGTCTATAAGCTTTATTTTCATATATTGTGGTTACAGAAAACAAAGGTTTTTATTAGGATATGTTTTTATTATTATGTTACTATATTTTTATTCTGTATGAAAGTGATCCACCACTGGAGCAGCATATAATCATGACTTATGAAAACAGTGATCCGCAATAGGATCATTGACAAATTATCTTTGATTTTGTGTGGAAGTAAACGTAGGTGTCAAAATTAAGCCTATCCCTAAAAAAAGCTTCTATTGGAACCTTCTTATTCATACAGTTATAAAGAATAGCCTTGAAATTTATCTAAAAACAATCAATGCGACTTCAAAGTCAAAATAAGATACTTAAGGCGCTTAATTGATTCACCACTGGGTCAATCACCCCAAATACTGTATGAAATATTGTTGTGGTATTGGAAGAACGAAACCACAACTTTTTGTTTGGAAGCAGTTTCAAAACACTGTATGCATGTGTGAGACATAATAAACTAAAATAAATAAACATATTAAATTAAAATTTGTCATATTTCCATTAAAATTTAATACCTAATAATAATATCGGGTAGGTTAGGATGTTATATAACGGGTAGTCCGGTAAGAACCGTAGTATAGAAAAGAATTCAATTTCTAGAAAATATGCTTGAAAACGAGAATTTTTAATTATTCTGAATACGCGAATTTACCTCGGAGTTCTATTCCACGGGAACGATCAAAATTTCAGAAAAATCAATTCTTCTCTATTGCTCTCGTCGATCGGGAGATAGAAAAGAATTCAAATTTTCTATTTTTCCTAATGCGCAAAGTTTTATGGTATTGCAAGTTCTTGAAAAAAATATGAAGTTCTATTATTTTGAATTGACTGCTAACGATTCTAGGTAGTCAATTCAAAAGAATAGAATGTTCGACGAGTAAATCTGAAATGTTTATTATTCTCAATTGACTGCATCGAATTTCAGAAGCGCATTAAAAGGAATAGAACTTTTGACAAAGAATTTGAAAAAACCTTATTTTTCTAATTGTCTGTAAGAGCTCCTGTAGTTATTATCTTAAAATAAAACGCAGTGACAGGGCTATGTTTCGCATCGTGTGAATTTCATTGTAATTTCTGTGCTAAACGGCTAAACTATTAAAATTAAATATTAAAACTAGTAAAAATATGGTTTAAAGACGCAAAGTGCTTACGATAAAATATAAAATGCTCTTATTGAAAGAAATTTTCAAGTGTTAAATGTTTAAGTCAAGTTTTGAAACCTAACCTCACTTTCTAGTGGAATCTTGAGTGGCAGTGAGTTAATTCAGAGGAATAGAAATTTCTACTGATTTGCTGTACTTTCTCATTCTTTTGAATGCGCGTTTCATATTTTTCTGAAGTCAATTCAGAATAATAGACTTTTCTGAAATTTTGGTCGTTTCCGTGGAATAGAGCTCCGAGATAAATTCTCCTATTACGAAGAATACAACTTTTGAATTCTTTTCAATTCTTCGCTTCTTACCGGGAGGTAAAGTATCACTTTACCTTCCCGTTATGACGTCATGGGAAGTTAAAGTAACATTCCCTCCCTGTCTCCGGGAAAGACCTACTTTCCACCCTATTTTCAGGTAAGAAATTATGTACTTTCGGTGCGTGTGTTAGAGAAAAGTATTTTGCTCCCGATTATCCTACTCCAGAGCGGTCGGAAAAGTATTTTCGCCCGCTCTCGCTTAAAAATGTCAAAACGCATCTCGATTACATGAAAATTAGTTTTTACTTAATTAAAGAACAACTTCTTATATAAATTTATTCAATTGAATATATTTGTTCTAATATATAATATTTTTATAAATAATTCAAAATAAATTGTAAGTATACTTAAAATAATTCGAGTAAATTGAAATATAAATAATAATTAATAAAGAAAGAAAAATCTAATCTTTAAGGAATCTACAAAAGGGTTTGTGGCATTCGGCGTGTTGGCAGTGTGGTTAGCTGGTTGTGTCATATATTATACACGACCGCTATCGGCACTGCAATTATGACGATTGCAGGTCATCTACCAAAATTCAACTATCAGTTATGTAAAAGTCAGCAGCAAATATTTCATGTATCCTTTTTGAAAGAGTTGGTCTCTAAATTTAATTATTTTTATAATGTATCTTATATATTATGTTTCTAGATAGACTTTATTTATTCTCTTGCGTTTAATTTGCACTCATACGTAATTTCAATTTGTTTGTATTACAGATCTGCTTACGTTTCCTTTGGAGGATTACTGATGCGATTGCAGGGTGACGCAAATAACCTACACGGCTTCGAGATCGATCAACACATGTATTTGCTAATGAAAAAACTAGCCTTTTAAACGTAAGGTCGCTTAAAAAAAGACGGATCATGGTTGCCACATTGTACCATAATTATGCCAGTCTAGCATCTTTTGAAGAAAAGATTAATGTGGCCTTATCGACGTTGCAATTCTTTTATGTGCACTTCTTGTAAAGTTTAAAATATTCTGAAGTTTAATTTTTTATACTCAAAAATAATGTAATTAATTTTAATAAAGAAATCTTTGAAATATAATTAAAAAATATATATAATATACAGTGAATCCTCGGTTTCACAGGCTAGCACAGTTTTTTATTTTTGATATTCGAATGATTTTCAATATAGTTTTGTCCTCTAAACACGATTCCATGTCACAAACTTTTTTCTGTTTAGCCTTACGTGTTGAAGTGCTTTGTTTTTGGGGATTCTTAATATTTTTTTCCAAGTTTCATATTTTATTATTTCACACATTCATAATACAGTTTTAAATTTTAACTTAAATTTAAAGTTTATTTGAAGTTCCTAGCAAAAAAACTTTATAAAAACACCGTGAAAAATTGTTTTTTGGTCTTTACATGATTGTTTCGTATTAAAAAATTCAAGTATACTGACCTTACGAAAGTCTCCAGCACGTCGTGTTAAAAAGAGAAAAAAATATAGAATATCATCAAAACCATGTTTTTCGGGGACATTACTTCCACTTTTTTCAAAATTCTTTTTTTTATTTTTGGCCTTTATTTAAAACCTATTGGAAATCTTTAGGTGCCAGTTTGAACAGAAAAATATCTTGAAGCTCCCAAAAATACGTTTTATGGTGTCTTTATCCACACTTTTCCCAAATTCTGAGGTGTTTGGCAATTTTGAGATCCAAGATCGTGTTCAGCAGATAAAAATACATTGAAAACCACTCTGATATCAAAAATAAAAAAAATTTCAAATATTGCTGGACTTTGTAATGTTATCTAAACCTCTACCATCCGAATTCTCCATTATCCGAAATGCAGATTATTTTATTCGAATTTCTTTTATCCACACCTTTTCACGTCTTCTCAAAACTTAAAATTAGTTTTTTATATAGATTGTCGAGAAGATCTCACATAAATAGACGAATTCAATTACGTATTTGGCTTATTCTACAAACGAAGGAAGAAAATCAAAAAAATTTAGACACTACATTTTTTTTTCATTTAAGGTCTGAAAAGTACTTTAACTTTAAGTTAATGGCACTAACAAAGATCTGTAAGTGTCCAGATAAAATATTGAAAATTACAAAAGTTATGTTAATCAATCTTTTACGTCCGAAAAATAGTAATTATAGTAAAGTAGAATGAAACGAAAACAATCGGACAAATAGTTTTTAAAAATTAAACGTTGGAGTAAACTAATTTTTAAAAACTATTTGTCCGAATGTTTTCGTTTCATTCTCCTTTACTACAAAAGTTATGGTTATTTATAAACAATTTATCCAGGAAATTAAAATCGTGTCAAGAAAATTCACATGAACATAAAATGTAATGGATGGATGTTTATAAAATTGGTTACTTGGGGGTTTACGGGATTTCGAGATATTTAAGGGGTAAGGCCACTGTAAACGCCAAAAAAACACCAGTTTTCAAGAATTTTTTTTTGTTGGAAGGAAATCGAATACAATTATAATAATGTAGTATGTTATTAGTCACATATTGAACTAAAACAATGTAAATTTTCAACAACAAAAAATACACAAGGGCGGAGTTACGGACATTTTAATAAGATGATTTTTTTAAAGAGCTCTGCGGCACGCAGCACATAGGATGCAAAATTTAATCTGGAGCAAAATAAAAAAAATTTTCTTTATCTACATGACAATAGGTAGATAATGATGTAGGGGATTTAAAAAATATTGATTTTCGTGAAATTGGCAAGCATTTGAAAAAAAGATTCATTTTTCGACCAAAAAACGGCACTAAATTGTTCATAACAACTGTATAAATTAAGTTATTGAAAATCCCGTACGTCATTCTCTTTGAAATGTTATTATAAATATGTAAGAAAAAATCCGATTAAAAATATTGGAAATTGTTTGAGTTATGCTGCGTGCCAATTTCAAAAAACGTGTTTTGAGAAATACGCGTTTAAAGTTTTGAGATATATACAACATACCTATATAAAAATGAACAATTTTACTTTTAAAAATTTTTTACCATTAATCTGTAATTAAAGCATCATATAGGAGGCATTATTCCTGAAATGCCCCAAAAATAAAAAAAGTTCTTGGATTTCCTTTATACTTTGGTAATGTATTACCCTAGTAGGTATTAGTTACTACACCAATTTACAGGTCCAACCCCCCATCCCTATCAAAAGGGTGGGGTTTGAAATTTCCGCTTCAACTCTAACATGCGTTCTTTGAACATTTGTAGTTTCTACTTAAATTATTTGATTAAAAAAAGTAAGTAGTGGTTTAGAAAGATTTTTTTGTGTACTTTTAAAATATTTTATTTATTTAATAAAAAAAAAAATTTTATGCAAAATAAATAGTTTTTTGCAATTTTTTGCAAGTTCGACAGTTTTTATTTTCTTTTTAATAATCTCAAATGAAAGCTTGGGATTTCACCTAAAAGAAGATATAAGTCTGAAAATAGGCTGAAAAATTTTGCTAAAGATATAGTGTAATAAGTAAAATTTGTTTGTCCGGTCGCGCACTCCAGCGCGATGCACAGTGGTATTTTTTTACAATTTACTATTGAAAATGGTCTAGAACCTACAAATTTTATCGGATGTTGATGTTCTTGGTCTAAAATTACTAAGAGATCCATCAAAGTCGATTTTTGAATTCTTAATTATTTATTTTTTCCTGTTACTCAAAAAGTAAACAAATTACAATATTTTTCGAAAAAATCAAGTTTATTTTTTTATTTTTCTATTACCCATGATCGAAATCAATTTAAATTAGTCTAGTATGACCACCGGACAATTAATAATGCATAATTCAATTTATTTAAATTCTTGCAAACAATGTTGATTAACAAATAGATTACTTTGGACCTTCGTCATGCAGACAAGTTTAAATATGTGTCTATTTTAGTAACAAATTATTTAAAAGTTAAAAATTATTGTTATTAACAATTATATAAACAATAATCAAGTTTCTTTTGTATTTGTAAACATTTTCGGCATTTTTTAAACTTTAAATATTTATATCATATGTAGAGTAGAACGGGGTGAAATAGCCATGGTGCAAAAAAGCCATTTGACTTTTATTTGAAAACTACCCAATGGGAAATAGCCATTAGTCTACCATTGGTGCATTAATGGCCCAATATTGGGAGCCATTGGTTTTCTCTAGGTTTATTATTGGCACCCAATATTGGACCACTAATGGTAAAATCGTGGGATGTCCACGCCGATGCCAATAATTGGCAACCATTATTGGCACATTATTGGCTGCCATTAAAAAAACAATAATAAAAAAAAATTTTATTAAATTTTATTAAATAATAAATTTATTTATTTAATAATTATTTTATTTATTTATTATTAAAAAAAATTATTTTATAGAAATGGTCATTATTTTCTATCACATCGAAATGTAAATGATGGCTACTTGTTTGGACAGAAACTGCCCAGATGATGATGATACAAATACAGAAGGATATCCTTCTGTATTTGTATCATCATCATCTGAGCAGTTTCTGTCCAAACAGGTAGCCATCAGACGCAGGTAGTCGTTGCGGTACGGTCCGGTGCGCTCGGAAATGAAAGGAAGAAAGGAAAAGTTAAAGAAAAAGGCAGGAAGTAAAAGGGCTAAAGTCAGAATGGGAAACTGGGGAAAGAAAAGCGCAGTGGATTTTGAATCCAGGATGCAAGTTAATAAGAGGAAAAAGGGAGGAGGGTAGGATAAGATTTATGAAGGAAGTGGAAGCGGCAATAAAAGAGGGCAAGGACTGGGACATAATAAACAGGGAAAGGAAAAGAAGACGAGGTTTGAACAGAGAGATAGAAATGGGAGCATGGACGGATTATTTCAAGGGTCTAAGTGGAGAAGTAGGGAGTAGAATAAGGGGGGAGGGAAGGAGAAAGGAGGTAGGAAGGGATGAGAAACAAATTACCAAGAAGGAGATAAGCGAACCGATAGACAGAATTAAGAGAAATAAAGCGGCTGGGAGGATGGAATGGAAGGGGAATGTTTAAAATATGGTTGGGAGGTGGTGAGAGATGAAATGTGGAAAATTGCGAATATGGTGTGGGAGGGGGAAGGGTGGCCAGAAGAGTGGAAAACGGACTTAATAGTTCCAATTGTAAAAAGGGGGAAGGTGGAAGATTATAGGGGGGTAACTCTGATGCTTGTGGGGTAAAAGGTGTATGCCGACGTGGTTAGGAGAAGGTTGGAAGAAGTGGTGGAAAGAATGGGGCTAATTCCGCATAATAAGACAGGATTTAGGGAAGGGATGAAGACGGTTTTTGGTTGGGTAGGGGGTTAAGGCAGGACTGTCCTCTTAGTCCAATCTTGTTTAATTTGTTAATGGCTGACTTAGAGGAGAAAATGGAAAGAAAAGGTAAAGGGGGAGTGATTCTGGGAAAAAGACGTGTGTATGTACTAGCGTATGCGGACGATGTAGTGTTGATGGCTGAGAATGAAAGAGGGATGAAACTGTTGATGAAGGATTTTGAGGGATACGTCAGAAAGAAAGATTTAAGTGTGAATGTGGAAAAGACAAAGGTGGTGAGATTTAGAAGGATAGGGGAGTTGGAGGAGGTGGAATGGGAGCTAAATGGGAGAAGAGTGGAAAAAGTGCTATTTGGGTTATTGGTTTAATTGAAATGGGGAGCAAGAGTTGAATATTATAGAGAAAGGGGGAAGGGTGATGGGGAGGAATTGGGAAGGGAAAAGGTTGTGTTGAGGCAAAGGAAGAGGGCAATGAGATTGGAGGAGAAGTTGGAGTTGGGAAGAGGGAGTGATATCGCGAGAGAGTGTTTGAGGTTGGTTAACAAAGGGAAAGCAATGAGAAGGAAAGATATTCCAAGATGGGAGAGAGAAAGAAGAGATGCGTTGGAGGAGGGAAGGAAATAGGGCGGAAATGAGAGGGAGGTGATGGAGGGTTGGAAGAAAAAGGATGAGAACGAGAGATGGAGTAGGATAGTGGATTCAAAATATAACAGATGGTATAGGATGGTGAGAGGAGTGAAGGAGCCGGTGTATTTAGGGAAAATGAATAAGTATGAAAGATGGAATAGATTGTGTAGGTTTAGAATGGTCGAAGGAGTGAAAGTGT